TGACCTAAATACCCTTATCATTAATATGTAAGTTACATTTTAACCAAACCCAAAGATGCAACATTATTGGTTGATGTGGGTTAGCAAAGTTTGTACAAAATATTGGGTTATATATATATATATATATAGGAGCGATCAAATAAAAACCGCCTCCATTTGTGTAAACCGTGTAAACCAATTTCACTCATCCATTTTCTTGATCAATGGTTAAGATTAATCAAGGTTATTTAAGTAAATTAAAAATAAAAAAAATTGAAAATACATTTTATAATACCAATAAGGGCAAAAGGGTAAAACYAAATATTTATTTATTCAAGGAAACCATATCATGTATATCATATTATTAATGAAACTAATCTATTTTTTGTAAATTAATTTATTATTTTTACGTTAAGATTTTCATGTTAACATTTATTATTATTAATGAAACTAATTTATTTTTCATCTTGCAATTATTTCATGACGAACCGCCTACATTATGCACCCGTTTTATTTTTCATTTCATATACTGAATGGATCACCTACACCATCACTGAAACAGGTTTCATCATGAAAGCAGTTCACCACTCATTGTTCAATTACGCCATGAACCAGTTTCACCTTCATGAAACATGTTTCATGTAAATTAATTTTTTTATTTCACTCATGATTTGATGCATTCTTTTCTTTACTCCTTACAATCTTCAAGATTCTGGAGCAGATTACAATCTTYAAGATCCCGAAGCAGATTCATCATGTACCCATTTCATCATGCAATTATTTCATGACGAACTAAATAAATTATGCACCCGTTTTGTTCCATTTTTTCTACTAAACGGATCAACTACACCATCAATGAAAAATGGTTCACCATGAAATGATTTCATATTACTCATGAATCAATTACAACATGACCCAGTTTCACCTTCATGAAACCTGTTTCACCTTCATGAAACCTGTTTCATGTAAATTAATTTTTTTATTTCACTCATGATTTGATGCATTCTTTCCTTTAATCCTTAGAATCTTCAAGATTCTGGAGCAAATTACAATCTTCAAGATCCCGAAGCAGATTCATCATGTACCCATTTTATCATGCAATTATTTCATGACGAACCAAATAAATTATGCACCCGTTTCATGTTCTATTTTTTCTACTAAACGGATCAACTACACTATCACTGAAACGTGGTTCACCATGAAACGATTTCATATTACTTATGAATCAATTACAACATGAACCAGTTTCACCTTCATGAAACATGTTTCATTAACATTATTTTTTTTTAATTTGAACCATAATTTACGATTTCATTCCACAATGCAATTCAATCTTCAAGACCCGTTTGCAGATTCAATCTCATAACAATATATTAAATTCAAAATTTTAATATTATAATATAATTAAATATTTAAATGTTACCATTTATACAATTTTCTTTATTACGTTTCTTAATTAAGATTTATTAATAACTTCCATATTTAATAAAAAAAATATTGTAAATGACCGAAATACCCTTATTGATTAAATTTAATTAGAAAAAAATGGAATTTTTCTATTGGTCGAAATTGGTTTACACGGTTTCTTAGAAATGCACGGTTTTATTTGAACGTGCCGATATATATATATATATATATATATATATATATATATATATATATATATATAG